CGAACCTGATGTTACTCATTAAACGCAAAATAAAAAAACAGCTGACTACCACCTCATAACAGACCAAATGAGTGCCTTAAAAGAGCCGCTTTAGTTAATTTAGGCGTCTAAAACACCACTTCAGCTCGTGACGTCTCTAAACAGGTGCAGATTTAGAACATGAATAACTGAATATAAACAAAATTAACCAAATCTTTAATATGACGCTGTAATTTGAATATATTTTAGACCTTATACTTGGACACGTGGCGTTACGTGCACCACTAGAGGGAAATATTCAATAAACACTGACATCAACTCGCACTGGACTCATTTGACTGGATTATTCTGTGGGAAAGTTTGTTGTCATTCTCATGTCTGTCAGGTAAACAAATAAGAGCTAAAAGAACTTGTCCGAATATAAACAGACCTCAAAATTAACCAAATCTTTTATATGACGCTATAATTTGAATATATTTTAAGACCTGTACTCGGACAAGTTCTTTTAGCTCTTATTTGTTTACCTGACAGACATGAGAATGACAACAAACTTTCCCACAGAATAATCCAGTCAAATGAGTCCAGTGCGAGTTGATGTCAGTGTTTATTGAACATTTCCCTCTAGTGGTGCACGTAACGCCACGCGCCCGTTAAAGGGCCAGTTCACCTAAAATTAACATTCTGTCATTTCAAACCTGTATGACTTTCTTTATTCTGTGGAATATAAAATACGACACACTATATTGCCCAAAGTATTGGGTCACCCCTCCAAATCATTGAATTCAGGTGTTCCAATCACTTCAATGGAAAGCTTTCCCAGAAGAGCTGAAGCTGTTATAGCTGCAAAGGGTGGCCCAACTCCATATTAAACCCTACGGATTAAGAATGGGATGTCATTAAAGTTCATGTGCATGTAAAGGCAGACGTCCCAAAGCTTTTGGCAATATAATGTACTTTGTAGTGCTGTCAGTTAAACGCGTTATTAACTGCGTTAACGCAAATCCATTTTAATGGCGTACATTTTTTTATTGCGAGATTAACGCTCTTTTTGGCCTAGCAAACTTAGTTTGTAGTTGTAGTTGTAGTTTTTTTTTTTCACATGCTGTTGCAACAACTAGTAGGCTAGCGTTAGAAAAACTACAACATCTAGCTAGACCGGAAACAAAACAACAGGCACGCCGCACACACTTGTTTTGGCTTGCGCCTGACAAAGAGTAGTAGGCTAACGTCACGGTTTGAGTGGACGGCGAGCGCGAGACGCAGAAATGGATGCCAATAAAATTATGAATGGAAATTTACGTTTAAAAAGTTGCCAAATGGTTCAATTGACAAGACCAAAGTGATTCGTGTGTTTTGTAATTGTGAACTGAGCGATCATCGCAGCACATCCAGTCTGAAATACCACTTGATGGTCAAGCACGCAGCTGATGCTAGTTCTCCGCACCCTTGTCAAAGCCAGACGACAATGGATGACTTCAGACAGAAGCACATGGACACTACAACTAAAAACAAACTTACTGCAGCCATAGCTAAATGGGTAGCTACTGCATGTAGGCCTGTTAACGTTGTGGAGGACGAGGGTCTAGTTGATATCATTCGCATCGCATCCAACGACTGGACCTACGATTTGCCTTCGAGAGCCACCATTACAAGCCACGTACAGAAACAGAGAAGGATAAGATACAGCAGGCGTTAGAGAAGACAAAAGCAGTCGCGCTCACCGGTGATTACGGGACCTCCCTCAGTAATCACAACTACCTCGGGGTCACAGCCCATTACTTTGATCCACAGTGGAAACATCGAACACAACACACCGTGTCAGAACAGTAACAGTAATGATTGGGTGTGTTTTATGTGCATGCGGGTAGGCTATGCATGTGTGTGTGTGTGTGTGTGTGTGTGTACGTGCGCGAGTCAGTGAGTGAGCGAGAGAACTCCGTGTGAATTACAGTAGGCCTAACTAGCTTCCCACTAAAGTGTTTCTCTATATTATTGCAGGTATGTGTCTGAACTTCTGAGATGAGAGAAGTTTGTGTCTTGCTCAGCGGTGCTGCCAGCGTTGTGTCATCTGTCGCGAGTGATGGAGGTTACTGAGGACGACCCAGCTTACATGATCAAGTTCAAGGGAACCTTTGCAGCAAACATGGAGGGTCGCAAGGAGAAGACCAACATCACATGGCTGAGAGTTGCGACAGCACTTGACCCAAGGTCATATTGCCATGCTTCATTCTCACACTTATCCTCAGCATTGTGTTTCTCTGAGTGTGTTTGTTTTGTTAGGTTGCTCGCTTCTTTACTTTGTATTTTTTAATTTAGCACTGTAGATATAAGGGTATTGTTGCAATTTTTGTATTAAAGTTGAATTTCATTTCAAGGTTTAAGGACCTCAAGTGTCTGAGCAAACCTGACAGGGCTGAGGTGTGGTGTACGATCCACGCCTTGCTCCAGGTAGGGCTGTAGTCAAGACCACCTTTGTCGAGTCCAAGACAAGTCCAAGACCAGGACTAGTCGAGTCCAAGACAAGACAGAGTCCAAAAAGGTTCGAGTCCGAGTCAAGACCGAGTCCAGGACAGGAAAAAAGTCTTGACATTATGACATTAAATGACAATCATTTTGGGTTATTATTTGTTGATCTAAAAGCAAAAACAGTGTCACAACACCCAGGATTTTTAAGTATAGACATTCCCCTTGATATCATATAATCTTCTAATCTAAAGAAAAAAGAATGATAACATATGGTGACACCAAATAATAGCAGTGTTAGAACTGATACAAACACCAACCCACTATTATTACCACTGCTAGGTACTAGTAGCCTACTGAGCATTTGAGCAAGCATAAATGACAATATAGCTGCACTCCAGTAAAATATATCTGTGGTAATTTCTTCACGTTAAACCGAACTTTTATTTTGACGGGTTTCTGAGTGTATCTGACGATGAAATGCTGAAGATAAACGTGTACTTGAGTATGTGTAGTACACGAACCTGCGGCACTCACTTGCAGAGATTTGCTGAACAATCAGATTTGATAGCAGTCTTTAATATTCACAGTGACTAGTCCATATAGCAATTTCATATTATGATCGGCAGTGAATAGACAGATCTGTTATTTCAGCTATGCGCCGTTATTGCAGTAGCAAATAGTAGAAAAGAAATCACACACGCGCAGTTCGTACTTGTCAATGACGGGCACTACAATCTGCGGTAATCTGCGGAGGTTTCTGTGGAAGTCTGCGGGTGCATACTACAATAATATGTTACTGGGAACATAAAAAAGACACCATGGATTTGGTCGAGACCAAAAGCCATATTTGGCAAGACCAGTGGCCAAGACCGAGACAAGTCCGATTCCGAATACCAGCGAGTCCGAGACAAGTCCGAGACCATAGAAAAACGGTCTCGAGTCCGGACTCGAGTCCAAGACTGGACTCGAGTACTACAGCCCTGGCTCCAGGAGATGGAGAGGGAGAGGCCTGCACAGCCGGATAACCAAGTCACGCCTGAGCCTCCTACGAAGAAACCAACTCTCATGCTTGCACACGAGTCTTCATCTGATGAAGAGGAGGACGGTATTGAGCAATGTCTGGAGCGCTACAAGGCAGAGCCTCTTACTGGTATGGATGACTTTCCCGAGGAATGGTGGTCCACACATGAAGGGGCACACAGTGAAATGGCCCGCCTTGCACGCAAGTACTTAGCAACACCGGCCACATCAGTACCTTCTGAAAGGCTGTTTTCACTGTCTGGGCATGTTGTACAAAAGAAGCGAGCTTCCCTGTTGTCTGAAAATGTCAACAGGCTTGTCTGTTTGAGTAACTGGCTCAAAGCAAAGTAGTAGTAGGCTTACCTTTTATTGGTAACCGTTACTGTTCATTCTTTTCAATAAGAGGCTGGGTGGTTGAGCCTCTGGTGAATAAAGAGCAGTAGCCTGACTGCTATGTTACATTTTTTACATTTACATTTAGCTGACGCTTTTATCCAAAGCGACTTACAATTGCTATATATGTCAGAGGTCGCACGCCTCTGGAGCAACTAGGGGTTAAGTGTCTTGCTCAGGGACACATTGGTGTCTCACAGTGGATTCGAACCCGGCTCTCTCACACCAAAGGCATGTGTCTTATCCACTGCGCCGTCACCACCCCATGTTCAAAGCAAACTTGAGAAAAATTATTAAGCCATGGTTTAACTGCACTATAGGCTGAGTCCTAGTTTACCGTGCACTTTGTAATTTTATTTTGTATCGCCCTGTTTTGACCCCTTAGAAAGGGATGTTTGTGTGACGAAGTATTTTTTCACCCTTTTATTAATGTACAGTGTTACATTGTGTGAGAGATTATTTGCTCCAAGTGAGAATGTTAGTGTAAAATTTAAAACTAGAGTATGTGCCAATGTTGTTTTCAATAAAAAAACATGTGTACAAAGCAAGCCGATCCACTTTTCTATGTTGATAAGAGCATTAAAATGAGAAGAAGAAAAAAATGGGACAATAAGAAATTAAGGGACATTTAGAATAGATAAAAATGTGTGATTAATCGCGTTAACTATGACATTAATGCGATTAATCGCGATTAAATATTTTAATCGTTTGACAGCACTAGTATTTTGACATCGCCACCAGGGCAATTGTGAGAGCAATATTTATACATTAGCTCTACTTCAAATCTACCTCTGATCATGAGTAACATCAGACTTTTAGCTAGTTAGTTCATACACTTTTACTCCAAAAATTAAAACATTTCCAAAGCATATGAGAAAAATGACAGGCACAAACAACACAACTTATACCCTGGTCTTTAATACTCTACTAACAGTGAAATGACGCTGAAGTGATGCTAGACTAAATATCTACTCTACAGGAACGCTGCTCAGAAATCAAATTCAACTGTTGTATGATATATGGTTCATGTCAAATTATGTCTTTAAATCAACATTTTTATAATGATACTGTCATAGACCACATGGTATGAATGATGAAAACAACTGAAGAAATAAAGCCTTTTTGACAGACCACACATGAAAAGACACTATGATGATTCAGGAGCAGTTTGTTCTTTAGCGTGTTTCTTCTGGTGGTTATAAAAACTACCTAAATAAGCGAATCTCTCGTCGCAGATGGAGCAGCGGTAAGGCTTCTCTCCTGTATGAACTCGCTCATGAGTCTTCAGGACGTTTAACCGAGCAAACGTCTTGTCACACTGAGAACACTTGAACGGTCTTTCTCCTGTATGAATCCGCTGGTGATTTTGTAAGGTACCCCACTTACTGAAACTCTTCCCACAAACGTCACAGTGATACGGTCTTTCTCCAGTGTGAACTCTCAGATGAACTCTAAAATGAGTCGGATTTAAGAAGCTCTTCCCGCAGTAGGAGCACAGGTACGGTTTCTCTCCGGTGTGAGTCCTCTCATGGCAAATCAATTGAGCTTTTTGACGAAATCGTTTATCGCAGTGTGAACACTGATATGGTTTCTCCTCAGAGTGTATTTTCTGGTGTGACTTTAGACAGCTTGAGTTTGTGAAGGTTCTCCCACATTCGCTGCACTGGTACGGCCTCTCGTTGGTGTGAATCCGTACATGCTTCTTCAGATGGGATCCATGGTTGTAACTCTTCTCGCAGTGAGGGCACTTGTACGGCCTTTCACCCGTGTGGATTCGCTTATGAGCATCAAGATTCCCTTTGTTGCTGAAATACTTGTTGCACTCACTGCAGTGGAAAAGTTTATCGCCTGTGTGGATTCGCTTATGAGTATCAAGACGTTCTTTGGTGCTTAAATACTTGTCGCACTCGCTGCAGTGGAAAAGCTTTTTGCTGTGTGTCTTTACATGAGCTATTAGACTTGAAGAATTGAAAAAATCCTTCCCGCACTGTTCACAGTGAAACTCTTTCTTCTTGTGCTCTTTTGAATGACGTCTCTTCTCTTTTGAGGTAGGAAAGCTTATGTCACATATCCTGCAGGTCAAGTCTTTCGGTTCTGTGTGTATTCTCTCATGTCTCGCTAAATTTCCCCGTGAGCTCAATGTTTTCCCACAGGTTACGCAGGAGAAACTCTTGGCCTTCAGCTGATCTTTTGATGTTGAGACTGTTTCTTCATCAGAAGATAAACCAGTGTTCTCATCTGAAAGGAACAAAAGGGTAATAAAATGTCTAACTTTAAAATGTACTCAAATAGAATTAGTGAATCATTCACTTTTATTTTATTTATAAATTCAGTATCTGTCTATCAGATACATAGAAGTATGATCCCCCTTAAACTTTAGGCGAGAGCGTGGTATTGCATGTGGTGTAAGAGAAATGTATCAGTGGATCTGAGAGTCCAAGAAGATGTTGGCAGCTAAGAAGTTCGGACAGATGGTACATCATTTAAACTTTAAAGCTGCAGTAGGGAGTTTTGAGAAAACGTTGACTTAGCCTGAAAATTTGAACTAGCACAACTTACAGGTCCCACCCCCTTGCTCTCTGCTGCGCTACAGCCCTCCCTCCACAGCTCGTCCTACACAGCGGAGCCCGTCGTGAACGCGCAGGCTAGTAAACAGGGCCACCGATTACAGCTGATAAAAAGTTATATGGCACATTCACTAATAGGGACTAAACATCAACAATATGCTTTACATTGACTATGGCCTGCCCATACTTTGACTTCAAACTTGGTCCTCAAATCATTGTGTATTTTGCAAAACATGTAACTTTATAACGTTGCACTCTTTCTATAAGTTATAAATGGCTAGTAAGATAACGTTAATATAACGGTAACTAACGTTACAGTATGTAAGTAATTATTCTAGCGATATATAATGCTAGATAAGGTGTGCTAGTACATTATTTCAGCAACATGACAAGCCAGTGAATAGTTGCTTAGCAGAGTGCGTGACATTTTATCTACATGTTATGCGGCTAGAGTTTTGACACCGAGTCAATGGGCTCTGTGTAATTCTTTCTTTTTCGCTTGTTTATCGTCATCGGTCTTTTTCCTTTTACCTCTTTGTTTTATGAGCAGGCGTCACTCGAGAATTGGCAGTTTAGGTTGTTTCTCCGTCATAAGCACAGCTGCAGCACGCCGGCAACCTTGAGTTTGAACGACGGCTCGCGCTCCGGCGCTCGCGCTGTGCAAGAGAGGGGTGTGATCAGCGCGTACACGAGCGTGATTGACACTGCTAAGACATTCCTCCTGGCTCTGATTGGTTGTTTCTGACCGGGAGCGTGTATTTCTTGCAAATGGCAATAGGACCACTGGGAGGAGCCAGAGGAGCTTGATTTTTTACACAGATTATCTGTCTCATATTCTACTGTCAGGACATAATGACAGTTTTAACAAATATGTAAAAAATATTTTTTACAAAAGTTACCTACAGCAGCTTTAAAGGGAACATATCATGAAAATCTGAATTTTTCCGTGTTTAAGTGCTATAGTCTGGTCCCCGGTGCATCTACCAACCCAGAAAACATGAAAGTGAAACCCAGTAACTTTGTTTTGGTAAGCCTTTCTCTGCAATCATGTTAAAGGGATAGTTCACCCCAAAAATGAAAACTCTGTCAGTAATGACTCTCCCTCATGTAATTCAACCCCGTAAATTTCGTTCATCTTCGGAACACAAATTAAGATATTTTTGATTAAATCTGAGAGCTGGATCACTCCTCCATAGGCCTCTTAAGGGATTGAAACTGGCCGGCCCAAAAGTTATGAAAGACATTGTTAAAATAGTCCGAGTGACTACAGCGGCTCAACCTTAAGTTTATCAAGCGATGAGAATACTTTCTGTGCGCAAAAAAACGAACAAAAATAACGACTTTATTCAACTAATCATTGCCTTCTCTGTTTGGCCGTGATATTTCACGTAGTGATATTGCGCAAAGCTTCTAGGTTGCACGTCACACGTAGGCTCACTATTGGCCGACGCTGGTCATGTGTGTGATGCGTGACGTACAACCTAGAAGCTTTGCGTAGTTTCACTACGTGAAATATCACGGCCGTACAGAGAAGGAAATGAATAGTTGAATAAAGTCGTTATTTTTGTTTGACAACCCAGAGGTACGCATCAGCCTTATAGTCGTGCTACTGGCCTGACCCAGGGTGTACAAGGAGTTACCCGGGTGGAAGATGGCATGGCAGATGAGAGCAGTAGCTAAGACTAAATGACTGACAATGTCTTTCACCGTTGTGTCTTATAATGTGCGTGGACTGAATGTGGGTCACAGCGACGGGGATAAAGCACATCATTGTATTGTGAATTTAAAGCCCAATTTATACTTCTGCGTCGACCTCCCGCCGTAGCTACGTCGTAGGCGGTGTGTAGCGCGCGTAGTACCTTCGGCGTACCCTGACGTGCACCTCTCCAAAAATGTAACAACGTGTCAATTCTACGCGGACGCAAGCGCTGTGATTGGTCTGCTAGAACCCCTCCCTCGGGTTTCACACGCTCCCTCTGCGTGCATCAACGCGGACAACGACGCAGAAGTATAAATTAAAACCAACGCGCAGTCTACAGCGTAGAGGCTCCGGCGTAGGTCCGACGCAGAAGCATAAATCAGCCTTAACTCTTGGAAATGTGTGACGTACTGTGCATTCAAGAAACCTTTTTAGCGAAACAGGACCTTGATAATCTCAAAGGATTACATAAGGATTTTCATGGCGCAGGTGCAAGGATTTTTCGTCTGCGCGATGATTGGAGGACTGCTTCTCCTTTTGATTGACAGCGATTTCGCACAGTAAAAAGTCGCTGACGCGGAAGCTATTCGAGATATCGAGCTCAGTCTCATCGCAGGTTTTGCAAGTGTACTCTAAAGACGAACTGCTTGGTATTTGCAATTTTCATCAGACATTTCACAGTTTAACCTAATTCCCACATTTCGTCCGTTGATGTCAGGTGCCTTGTTACATGTGCGGGCGTGGTGTTTGAATCACGCCACATCTGTCTAGTTTGGTTTCGGACATGTGTTTGTTTTCTGTTGTGAGCGCACAGGATGAGCTTACGCTCATTCTCGTGAATAACGTTCTGTCTTGTCGTGTTCGCGTGCGGTTTCTGTTCGCTGTGTTCAGTGTGTTGTGTTTTGTGTAGCACACGGTTCGTGTTTACATCGGCGATGCTTTCATGTCATGTTGTGTCTTGTGTTTTACACTAGCTGTGTGCTTTCATGTTGTCATGTTCTCTGTGAACACGTGGCTTATGAGTGTTCTCATTGTTCTTCGTGTCTCATTTTGTGTGAGCACATTGCTTGTAATTTGTTTTAGTGGCCATGTGTTTGTGTTGTTGTCATGTTTGGTGTGAGCACATGGCTTGCCATGTGTTTTCCGTGTGCCACGTGCTCTCCTGTCCATTGTGTCGACTCCCATCTTGTTTCCTGATTATTAGTTATTTTGCCCCACCTGTCCTCCCTCGTTACCTGCCTTTTTTGCTCCCCATTTATTCTCCTTGTCCTGTGCTAGTTCGTAGTTTTTGTTTGTATTTTTTATTTTATTTTATATCTACCTGAGTCCTCGCTCTTTTCACCATCCCCACACCTGACAGTCGAGTTAAAAAAAATGAGCTTCCCCTGTTTGAAAGACCAGCAGCCGCCACTGGTGTGGATGCAAATATAGTTATCGTTCTTGGTGTGAACGGGCCTTTAATCTTTTGGACTAGCTATATCCACAAGCTCAGTGAAGGATATTGGTCCAAATGGTTTAATCAAAGCAGAGCAAGCAAAAAATAAATCTAGGAATCCTATACAGGTCTCCGGTGTACCATCCAGAAGTGGTGAGAGGAGAGAACACTGTATTTGTCATGTTTAACATTGGGATTTTATTATTATCATCGTAATTAGATTTTTTTTTCTCACTCAAATCGTTCAGCTTTTCTATCGTCTGCCATTATGTTCTCTATTATCTGAGATGATCTGCTGTCAAACCTGATCAGGAGCATCAGAGACCAACAGCCAATGTGAACCTGATCTTACAGAGTCTCTGCTGAATGACATTCAAGTGTCATGAAAAACAACAAAAGATCATGAAAGAAACACACCTGCAGGAATAAACTCATCATCATCCTCATCATTATTCTGATCTTCATCATCCTCATTATTCTGATCCTCCTCCTCCTCCTCCTCATGGCTCTGTTGTTGTTCCTCTGCTGTGGTTTCTTCTCCTCGTCTCTCTATCAGGTTCCTGCAGTCCTCCAGTTTGACGGAGCACATCTTCATCTGCTGTTCTCCAGCGTTACAGTCAGAGGTTTGATCAGCGGATCCATGATCCTGAGCGTCAGTATAACACAGTAAAGTGAGGCTGAGCTCTGAGTCCTGTGTGTCTCTGGATCTCCAGACTGAATCCTGAGCTTCTGGCCCATCAGTCACACACACTGAAACCTTCTCCAGATCCTGACAAACACATCATAGATCAACACAAATAAACAACAAACTGTTGATATTAGCCTCATTACTAAGGCATAAGAAGTGAGAAGCTAACACAACTTTGGTTTGATTGAGCTGAAGGATGAAATGATGAGCTGCTCAAACCTCTCTGTTGGGTTTGTCTCCTCTTTCTCTCAGCTTTGCCTCCAGTGACGCCACCTCTTTCTTCAGCTGACAGATTTCAGTGATGAAATCCTCAATATCCAGCATGGACAGATCCGTTCCTACTGATTTACAGCAGATCACATCCATCTGTGCTCTCATGGTCAACATCTGAAGACAAACACAACATCATTATTACAAGACACATTTATAATAGACTCAAATTTGAATTTGATTAGCCTAGGTGTTTCTTAAACTATTGAAACCATGTTTTTTTTTTCATACTTTTTTCTTCAAATATTACATACCACATTTTCATCTCAAAGACAGTTTTTCTTTATCATTTTCACACAATAAATACTTAAATTAAAGTGAATGGTCAAACATTTTATAATAATGACAGTATAGCTGTTGTTGACAACAACATTTCTTTAATTTAATGTAAACTGGTAAAGTTCATTGCTGTCAGATGACCACAATAATGTTGTTTAAAGTCGTCATAAGAGTTTTACCACCATTTACCTTTACAATAGCTTTTTATGGTGTTGGATTGTTCCAGACAACTTTAATGCCACCTTTACAAAACAAAAACGTTTAATCTAGTTTTAAAAGGTTAACTTTAGAGACGAACAAACGAGCCCAATATATATATATATATATATATATATATATATATATATATATATATATATATATATATAACAAGACGTTTGCTTTCAAACAGGAATACTAATAAATAAGACATTTACCTTCAGCTGCTGATCTTTCTCAGATTTCTGCTCGTTTCTCCTTGAACTGTAAATCGTTTAACCTGTCCGATACTAAACATTCAAGCACACAATAATGTAAAATCACATAATTGATGTAAAACACGATAAACACACACGAGATGATTATGTTTACCAACAGAACTACACTCGCGGGTTGTTCGCGGTTTCACACACAGCAACTTATGACGCACTTCCGCCTCCTGCTGGACTGGAGCTCGATTTATGGTCACTTGTTTTTTCAGGACTCTGAATGTAATGTATCTTTATTGTCCCAAAAAGGTGGCATCCATTTAATCATTTTAATAAATATAATAATTTACACTCAATATATTATTATTCCTCTATTCGCACTAGGCATAAATAGCATCTAACTACTATTCATACTTATTGCAAAGAAAATAGCTACTGCTAATTTTACATAGAATCTGTCCCTATTGTCACTTAGTGCAAAGTGAGCGCTGCCATTTCCCCTTTTGTGATCACAAAGTCCTTTACAGAAAATTACTAATACTATTTGCCAAAAATCACACTATGGAACAATGTTCTTGTTCCGTATTAAATATTGCTGTAAACAATTAAGCTTTATTTTCTGACTATGTTAAAAGAGAAGAGACATCAATATGCATGAATGCTGATATAATATTAGGCTTCACTAGCTTATACTCTGTAATTTATAAACAAAATATTTTAGTTACAACATTAAAGTTAACATGACAGTGTTCTACATGTTCTTAAACAAAGTCTGTGTTTTTCCTCAGCCGGCTTTTGTGTCTTTGGGGAAATTAATCTTAACATACATTTAACAAACATGCTGTGCTTTTCTTTCAAAATGCATGACGTGTTCAAAAATAAATTGAAGATTGTGTGGCTGTTTTGACCTTGGATGAGCAATGGTGTGTGTAGTGTAAATAGCCTTTGCCAACAGGACAGGCGTTTAATTTTATTTGTTGAAACCATCCGATCATATGAACATGAATCTTGTTGCTAGACATCTAGAGCTTCATAGTGGACATTTACATAACGACGTAGAGGAGGAGTCTGAGAATCTGACAGATATATGAAGAGTGTTTGTGTCAGACTGAACAACACAAACGGTGAGTTACTGTTTTATTCTTCATTTACTGAACAGAACATTAAGACATTTATGCAGTTTTCAAAAAAAGAATGGATCAAAATATACATAAGAAAACATTTATATTACTTTCTAGATTAAATAAATCTCTATCTGTGAACTACTGAGGAGAGATTCAGAAGATGGAAGTAAGTTCATCTGCTTCTTTTATTGCATCAATTAGTCTAAACTCCTGATTCACATTTAATTTCACTTTGATTTCATCATTATAAATTGTGGAACATGTTCGCTTAACTCTTTCCCTGTCTCTCTTGTAGATGATGCTGTTTTTGGCGGTTCTTCTCCCTGTTGTATTGGGGAGTGACTGTAAATTCATGCCATTCGACTGTTCTGACGTCTATAACTCAGGAGAAACAGTCAGTGGGATTTACTCCATCTATCCAGCAGGAGACGTTCCTGTCTGGGTTTACTGTCACATGATCTCAGATGGGAAAGATGAAGACAACGGAGGATGGACGGTACGAATGTGACTTTAGATCATCAAACACACATCAGAACACACATTATGAATCATATATCCTATATAAACCCATCACAGGTGTTTCAGAGGAGAATGGACGGCAGTGTGAATTTCTATCGGCCGTGGAATCAGTACAAGAGAGGATTCGGGAATGTGGAGAGCGAATACTGGCTGGGTAAGATCTCACAGCGTGTGTCCGTTTGTGTGGATGATCATGTGTTTGGTTGAACATGTTCTTCATGTGTGTGTGTGTGTGTGTGTGTGTGTGTGTGTGTGAACAGGGCTGGAGAACATGTACCAGCTGACACGTAACAGAAAGTACATGCTGAGAGTGGATCTGGAGGACTTTGAAGGAAGGAAGGGTTTTGCTCAGTACTCGTCCTTCTCTGTGGATTGTGAATGTGTCGGATATCAGCTGCATGTTTCAGGGTTCAAGGATGGAGGAGCTGGTAGGACACTTTCATTCAGATTAAAAAAATCCCTATCAGTTGAGTAAATGTGCACCTGATGTCCTCAATGATGCTCTTCTTCTCTGCAGGAGACTCTCTTGCCTACCATAATGACCAGAAGTTCTCCACCTTTGATAAAGACCAAGACACCTGGGAGAAGAACTGTGCCAAAATGCATCTCGGGGCATTTTGGTACGGAGCCTGTCACCACTCAAACCCCAACGGTGTGTATTTATGGGGGGAAGATGACACACATGACGGCATTGGAAATGTTTGGTCAACCTGGAAGAGCAATTATGCTGTCGGTCTGAAATCCATCAGCATGAAGATCAGACGTGTGTCTTAGACATTTGAAGAAACATTACAGGGTTTCTCAGAAAGAAAATAAATTAAGGTCAAAGGGTTTCCTTTTCTCCATTAACTGTGTAACTTAGTAAATCATGTAAGAATATAGTATGTGGCTGATGTTTTGTGCACTCGCATCAGTTATTTTCTTCTTTGTTTTGGGTCACTTCTTTAAATTTACAACTGAAACGAATCAACAATAAACTTCAATAAACTCATGCACCGAACAAGTGTCAATGTAGATTTGTTTATGTGCTTGTGTGTGCAGGGCCGGGACTCATTTTCAGCCCTGGAGTTTCATGCCTTAGACCGGCCCACTTTAGTTCCCGACTGACTATATTAAAATAATGTAATTGAAACCTCAGTATATAAGTCTGCAATAGTGCAGTGTTCTGTACAGCCTAATTGTTCTCATTGTGGGTACAGTATGCAATAGACTATTCCTCTACCTGCTCTCATGTCTCATCTTCTCATTCTTCTTCTCTCAGTCTCTTTATCTTTAGGTTACCTGTAAATCTCCCCTTCCCGAAGCTGAGTTTTGATTGATACAGTCTTCTGATTATTTCTGTCGGTCGTTTAAAACTTCTTTCGTAATTAAAACGGCTGTTTAGTTTAGCCACTTGCATCTTATCTCGTGAAGCGTCGCATTGGGAGTCGCGCGCGGCCGCGGATCGGATTAAAGTCTTTGTCACAAAATTTGGACGTTGAAAAGACGTCCACTGAGGAGCCAGAATGAAAGTTTTTATGACGTCTTTTTTTGACGTCCGATATAGACGTTCATGGAGCCTCTTCGTACAAGGTTAAAAACTAGTTCAAATGTGGCCATTGAGGACATATTTTTACATCATTTTTGGTCTCATTTAGACAGAATTACTTTGACTATTGCTGTCAGATGATCTTAGTGAGAATTAGCAGAGGTTTAGATGTTGATATTTGTTTCATTTGAAGAGTCACCATTGTGGTGATCAGTGTTTGCTTTAGTTGGGCTCTTGGTCCCCTTTATTTTTACTTTAGCTTTTCTTTGGCTGTTGTAACTGTGAGTTTGTATAACACAATTGATGTTACAAAGAAAGCCAATAGTATGTAAGACCAGGTGTTATTAGCTTCATGTTGATGTTGATGAAATCATCACAAAACAATCATCTAATGTTGTCAGATGCTTTGGCATTTCTAGTCTCCTATCTTGTGGAACTACAATATTGGCCCCAATAGCATTTATAATATCACTTATTTAGAGGTGGATAAAACGTATGTGCATACGATGTTTAGAGCAAAGGTATCATGTTGTCACACACGGACATCAAGATTTTGCATGAATCACAACAATGGTGACAATTAAAAAAAATCGTCATGCTGCAATGCATGATGGGTATCTTTCATAGTTCAAAACTCATCATTGATTCCCAAGAATTTTTGTTTTGAATGTCACCGTTGTTGTGATTCATATCCAAAATCTTGATGTCTGTGTGTGACTACATGATGCATTTGCTCAAAACATGTGCACATGCGTTTTTACTTTAAAAATATTTTGTATTCTATTGGCACCAATATTGCTGTTCCATAAGGTTGGTGGCTATGAATGCCAAATATAAAAACAATTTCAAACTCAACATTTGATGCTTGTTTTGTGACGATTATGTCATCATCAACATTGAGCTGATAACACCTGCTGTTACTTTTTCTTGGCTTTCTCTTTCACAACAATTGTGTTATACAAACATACAATTTCAACAGCCAAAGAAAAGCTAAAGTATAAATAAAGGGGACCAAGAGACACCTCAAATGAAACTAATATCAACATCTAAACCTCTGCTAATTCTCATTAAGATCATCTGACAGCAATAGTCAAAGTAATTCTGTCTAAATGAGACCATAAATGATGTAAAAATATGTCCTCAATGGCCACATTTGAACTAGTTTTTAAACTTGTACGAAGGGTCCATGAACGAATATATCAGACGTGCAGAACACGTCAAAAAAAGACGTCATAAAAACTTTCATTCTGGCTCCTCAGT